GTGGATTCATTTAAAATGAAGTAAAGATGAAAATTTGTGTTAATATTTAGATATGCAACTAAAATTGTCCTTAATGGGGAAGTCATAGCCATAAATGTTACAGCAACAAGTGAGTCAAGTAGTGTCACATTTGTTTCAAGACTATAGAACAAGCACATAAACTGAAAGAAAAATTTAAAAAGAAATAAGCACATGACTAGAGTTTTTTGAATAACCATGGGTAAGATCACTCAAGGAACACTGACAGATGATACAAATATATAATAAAACTGTAAAGGGGTTATAATTATAAATTCATGAAAGATGTAAAAACCATAGAAGAATACTACAGATAACAACTATGATATTACATCTTTACGAATGAATAATTTTGTGAATTTAGTACATACATTTGAGCAGTATGTAAGGTACCATCCTACTTCTTCACTATATGTTTGTATATAAGTATCCTCAAAAAATGTTCCAGTACTTTACAAATCATTATGGGGTAGGAGTTCAGGAGTTTGTATTATTTCATTCATCCAAGTTATCTCATTTTCAACAGTGCATATAGGTTTTTAAAAATCCACTATAGCACTGAAAAGGAGTTAGCCACAGAAGCATGTCAGGCTGCACCGCAAGCTTATGTTCTGGTCCCACACACTGAACCTCTTGGCCTGGTAGGGATGTCTTGGCCACCATATTGTTGTAAAGGTGCCTAACTCCACTCTACCCTTCCCTTCTGGAGTGAGGCATTCCCCAGAACTCAGGTTTCTTCACCCTATGACATAGACCCGTGGATTTCTGTGGCCTTATACCCACTCCGGTTCCTAGGATTTGAGTGTGGGACTGATGCCTGGACGCTTTTACTCCTCAGAGAAGCACAGACCAGTGTTGGACCTGGTTCTAGAGCATGGGAGGCTAGAGACACAGAAGTGGATTCAAATCCCAGGCAAAGGACTCTCAAGATTACAGCTATAGTCCCTGAGTTTTGTATATCCATTTCCTCATGCATGTCCTGGGCACCTTAAATTCAGGGTGTTCAAGACTGATGAAACAATCTCGCTACTCTCCTCTGTTTATACTTCTGGCTGGCTGATGCATGGCCATGTTTCCAGTCACTAGGGCCAGATACGCCACATCTCACCTCATCACCTGTATCTTGGCACTATTCCCTACCCTATATTCCACTTGGAAGTGCAGAGGGGGTCTGTCAGAGGTGCTGTAATTCACCCCAGTGTGTCTTTGCTTAGATAGTAACCTTTCCCACCCATCCACAAGCTCTCATCTCTGAATGACCAATTGTAAGTCCAGGTGCAATGCGTTTTCCCATGAAGTTTTACCTGATTCTTCAGCTCGACATACTGTCCTCTGTCTCATGCACTCCCCAGGCGGCCTTATTAGTACGGTCCCGTTTCAGAGCATGTGGTCCCTTGTGCTGCCCTTGCAGGTGTCTGTGTCAGCCTCCACTCTGTACACTGTGAGCTAAGCTCATTGTAGGCAGGATGTTTATCGAATCCATCCTTACCCTTCTCGGTGACCTGTGTTTGTCTGAGCTCAGTGCTTTAGTTTTATGGCCATGAACAACTACATGCATCTCAGTCATATCTCACTTCTACCTTCCACTAGTGGAGAAATTTCTTGAGGAAATGAACTAAGCATGAGTCAGCTTTCTGTCCAAGATATCAACCGAGCACCATGCCTGGCATCCCTTACATGTACAGTAAATGTTGAACCCAATGGTTGAAGGGAACTCCATGAATCATTTAGTGTTTCTACATCTAGAAGAACTTGAACATTAAACATTTGGATAAAGCAGGGGAGCCTACAGAGATATTGGAAAGTAGGCTGCAGAGGTGAAGGAGGAAATCCATGAGAATGTGGTGTCACAGGGGAAAGAACAGTTTGCGTGAAGAGAGGCCCAGAGAAAAAACAGCTAGCTTAGCAGCATGGAGGTTTTTCAAGAGCTGCACTCCTCCTTGTTTTCAGTGCTGTGGATGGAACCCCGCACCCTGCACTGAGCTAAATCCCCATCCTTTCTTTCAGACAGGGTCCCACTAGGTTCCTAAATTGCCCAGGCTGGGCTGGAACTTGCAATCCTCCTGCCTCAGCCTCCCAGAGGGCTGTAATTGTAGGCATGTACTACCATGCCCAGCTGAGAGCTGTGTTTATTTAGGAAGAAAGGAGCAAAAGTATAACAGAAGTTCACTGAAGAATGAATGGGAGATGTAGGGATAGAGAAAGAAGTATTGATAATTTTTGAAGAACTTTACCAAGAGAAGAATAATAGGGAGGCAAATAGGTGTGGAAGTGGGATACAGAAAGGATTTTCTTTTAAAGTGCGAATATACATGTGAACATTTAAAAACTTAGAGAAAAAGACGTTTCTAAGAGTAATGTAAAATACTGAGTAAAAACTAAACATTTTGAAGTAAATAAAATTATGTAAAATTAATTTTTTATGATAAAAGTAGGTGAAACATTCAGAAAGTATTTGTACCATCCATAGCAGATGTAATGCATAATTTGGACTATCATACATTTTTTTTTGTACCAGGAATCAAACTCAGGACCTTTCGCTTGCCAGGCAGGTGCCTGTGCCACTGAGCTATACCTTCAACCCTTGGACTATCATAAACTGTGGTGAAAAAATATATTTGAAGCCACTCTTTCACTCCCTCCTTTCTGTCTGTAGCAGAGTTTTAAAAAACCAAAAGTATGAAAGTATCACCTTAATGTGATGCCTCAGTCACTTCCTCATCACTGAGACACAACACCTGACACTGACAACTCAAAGGAGGGAAGGTTGGGGCTGGGGATTTAGCTCAGCGGCAAAAGCGCCTGCCTGGCAAGCGCAAGGTCATGAGTTTGGTTCCCGGTACCGGAGAAAAACCAAAAAAAAAAAAAAAAAAAAAAAAATTCAAAGGAGGGAAGGTTGATTTAGCTCACAGTTTGCAGAGGTTTTGGCCCATGGTCTGCTAATATTAATCTTCTCAACTACACCCTCCTCTCCTCCTTTTCAGAAGGTGACTTCTTTCTGGTAAAACTGAAGACTTTCAAAATGGGCTCTTTGCTCTTGATTTTCCATGTAAACTTGGCTAAAAGCTCCAACCACATCCATGCCACAGCCCCAACATTGGGCTGCTTTGAAATTTCCTCTTCCAGATTAGTTAGTTTACTGCCCCAAGTTTCAGTCTCCCATAATGTCTCTGGACAGGAGCAAAATGTAGACAAATTTTCTGCCACAGCATAAAACACATGGCCTGGAGTCCAACTGCCAGTGAAGTCTTTGTTTCCAACTGAACCCTTCTGAGCCTGGTCTTCTCCATCTGCTTTTAACCACCCTTTTGGTCTTCTGAGCTCTGCCCACTCTCCCACTGAGCTCAGTTTGCAGCACTCTAGGGCTTCACTAACTGGCATCTTCAAATTTTGCAAAACTCCTCCTACAAGCCAGTGCCATAGGCTTCTGCACCACATGGTCAAGTAGCATGACAGCACCAACTCTGCTTCTCTGGTACCAGTGTTTGTCTTGGCCACCTTCCTGGTTGCTGAGACACTACCTGACACTCACAATGCAAAGGAGGAGAAATTTGCTTTCGCTCAGTATGTAGGGGTTTCAGTCCACGGTCTGCTGGCTTAGAGGCAGGGCAACACGGCAGAGGAAAAGATGCTCAGGTCAAGGAGGCCAGGTAAAGTGAGGGGAGGAGCCGGGAGGGAGATAAGCACTTCCAGGCCACACCCCAGTATCAGTCCCTTCCCACCAGACTGCACCTGCCAATAGCAAATTAGCTACAAGCCTCCACCATTCATCGGCTTCCAAGAGCCCCACCTTATGAGCACACAAAGTTTTGGGGGCCATTTCAGATCTAAACTACGACACACACACGACTTAGTTATTTCTAACGTGCTCATTCTTAAAGACCCAGGACACACTTTCTGTTGTTACGCTTCTCTGTCCTCGCCTGGAACTCTGCACAGACTTATATTGGTCAACACAACCGCGCACACCCATGTCGCCAGCAGGGCCTGAGTCACTGGCAGCGGGGACAGTCTCAGGGTCCAGCTGTGCCCACTGCCCAAGTTAACCTGCTCTTGTTGATTAACAGTCATTCAGTTTCTCCTGCGCCTCAGTGCTTTGGAATGTGAAAAGTATCCTGCAGTTGTCACATTTCTAGGAGACCATTTTCAACCCCCAGCAGGCTGTCTGGATCTGTTATTTGGATCCAAACATGACCATGCTCTGATTTTTAGCCCCACCAATTATTTTTTGCCTATTTTTGAGCTCCATATAGTCAATCATACAGCTTGCACCCCTTTGTGTCTGATTTCTTTTGTTCAGCGTTGTTTGTGAGATTTAAACATGTTGATGTGTGTATCAGTAGTTTTTCTTTTCACTGTTGCATAGAATATTTTTGCGTGAATAATGATTAGTTTTTCCCTCCAGTACTGGTGATGGAACCCAGGCCCCTAGAGCTGCGTTACACCCCAGCCATTTTTCTTTCCCTCCCCTCTTCCCTCCATCCCTCTTCCTTCTTTCCTTCCTTCCTTTCTTTTTAAATTTCGAGACAAGGTGATGCTAAGTTACTACCTTACCCAGGCGGGGCTCCAACTTGGTTTTTTGTTTTTTGTTTGTTTTGTTTTTTCCGGTACCGGGAATCGAACTCACGACCTTGCGCTTACCAGGCAGGCGCTGTGCCGCTGAGCTAAAGCCCCAGCCCCGGGGCTCCAACTTGGGATGCCTCAGCCTTGCACAGTGCACCATCATGCCCAGCTTGTAGTTTTAATAACAAGCCCTTCTTTGCTTATGAGAGAAAAGGCCTTGGCTAAATCTAGACTGTGATTCAGCCCAAGATATGCTCGGTTTTGTAGTATTTCCCCTACCCTACATAGGTCTCTCTCTCTGAAAACACACGACTTTCAAAGAGAGACATTCATCTCCGCTCTCGGCGGCACGGGGCAGGACGCTGGCGTCCCAGGCTGCCCTCCCGCCTGACGCGGCCCTGTCGTCCCTGTCCTCGCAGTGAGATGAGCCAGAAGGGGGCCAAGGAGGGCCCGCGCCTGTCCAAGAACCAGCGGCTGTCGGAGCACTTCACCATCCGCTGCTGCCCGCCCTTCACCTTCCTCAACTCCAAGCGCGAGCTGGTGGACCGCAGGTACAGCCTGTGCCGCAGCGGCTGCTTCTACGAGCGCCAGGAGGAGGACTGGGTGTGCTGCGCCTGCCAGCGCACCAGGTGGGTGTCGCCCGCGGGCTGGGATGCAGGGACAGAGATGGGGACGCGGGAGGAACGCAGGGGGCGCGGGGACCAGGGGCTGGGGAGCGGAGAGGGGGACGCGGGGACAGGGGCTGGGGCGCGGGGACGGGGACGGGGAGCGGGTGGGTGGGAGCAGG